TCGCCAGCCCGCTCTCGGCGCGTCCCTGCAGCCCTCGGATTCCTGCAGCCGGCCTGGGGCGCGCTCGGTCGCTCCGAGAAGTGTCCCCATTGCGGCCCCCGGACGATGGCCACCAAGATCGACAAAGAGGCTTGCCGGGAGGCGTACAACCTGGTGCGCGACGACGGCTCGGCGGTGATCTGGTGAGGAACTTTTCATTGATCTCCAAGCCCCGCTCCCCGACCTCACGAGGAGCCTGGGGCGCAGGATCGTGTTCCAAACGGGACGATCGAGGGCCCTCTCTCGCTGTCTTCATCCTTATTCCAGGACAGCGTGGACAGCCAGCGCTGGCTTCTCCTAGCCAGAGCCTCAGATTGTCCTGCTGGGAGCGCTGCACCAGGCAACTACCAACGCTGATGTGTGTGTTTTTCTCTCCTTCCAACCCAAAGGGTGACTTTTAAATATGACGGCTCCACCATCGTCCCCGGCGAGCAGGGAGCGGAATACTCGCAGTTCATCCAACAGTGCACAGGTAGGGGGGCGCGCCTTCCAGGTGGCCCCAGGTCTGTGGGGGAGGTGTGGCCCGGCTGAAGGGCAGAGGCCAAACTGGGAGGGCCCGGTGGCCACGCTGGGCGCCGCTAGCGCTGGGGTTGGAAGAACCAGATTTGGGTGTTTTTAAGCCCCCAAATGCCCTGTCCCCCTGGACAGCCAGTGCTGTAGACTGACCTGCCTGCTCCCAGGCTCTCCCAGGACTCAATCCAGGAGAGGCAGCTCGTTTGCCCCCTGTGGTTCACTGGTTTCCCCAGTCAGCTCACGCAGCTCCAAACTCCAGTGGTCAGTCCTGCTCCCCGTCCCCTTTGAGGGGTCAGTAGACAAAATTAAAACAGCTTGGGGGCCGCTTGGGAGAGAGGCCACCAGCCCGTGCACAGTCATTGTGTGCCTGTTAAACACACACAACCGAGCCTGGTACAAAAGAGCCCACCCTCTGAGCCCATTTACGTGGGATTTCTAGACAAGGCAAAGCTGACCCACCACGTGAAAAGCCCTCTCTGCCGGGGTGCATAGCCACTGACGGGAGAGGGCAGAGATGCCCGTAGTTTGATCTCGGAGGGGACTACACAGGTGTGGACCTAAGAAAAGCATCCTCAAGCCGTGTTCCTAAGCTCTGTGTGCCTCACGTGCTCCCCTGTGGTGTGTTGAACCGTGGATAGAAAGAGCACGTGGCCTGATAGCCACAAAACCCTCCACAGAGGCAGACGGACCCTTGTCCAAGATTGGAAAATGGGGCGGGATGCTCTTTAGCTGGAAACTGGAACTTTCAGACAAAGGCAGCCGGAGGTTAGGGTGTGGATGCTGAGTCCACTGGGCTGGGCTGGGCTGGGCTGCAGAGGTGTGGTGTGGGCGGGATACTTAACCCCTGGGGGCCTAGGTTTCCTCACCTGCAGTATCATAGGCTGCTGTGAGGACAGTGAGTCCGTGTGCAGAATGCTTAGGACAGGGCCTGTGCAGGTCACAGGGTCTCAGGAAACAAAGTACAAGGTTACTCCGGGAATCCTGTGGGTGCCGCTTTTCTTAAGGACTTCCTTAATTGTATTTTGCATTTAGTGTAATTCAAAGGACATTTGAGAAGTGTCTGTTATGGGCTGGGTAGTAATGGGATTGTATCTACATAGATTATCTATATAATCACATTCCCAGCTGTCAATAACATTCCTCCTTGAGGCCTGGCTCTAAAGATTCCTGTATGTTCTGAGTAAATAACCGGCTGAAGATCATTTACAATAGCAGAAAGTACTCCAGCAACTCTCACTGGAAGGTGCCCAGGGCCACGGCAGGGAGGCTCTATGGGGCGGGGATTTGAATCCAGGCCCCGACTCATGCTCAGGCGTCCAGGTCCCACCATACTCCAGCCTGCTGCTTCTGTGCTGAACGCCTTCCCACATGGAGTAAATGCAAGCGCTTACCCTCACCCCCAGCCCCCAGTTTGGTTGACCACCCGGGGGTGCAGTGTGTCTTTGCTCCGCCTGCCCTGAGGCCCAGCTTTGAAGGCCAGCCTCTCCTCCCTGAGTCGCCTGTCCTACTGGTCACCCTCACCCCACCCCGCTGTTCTGTCCCTGAAGCTATTGTCCTCTCCAGGAGCAGGAGAAGGTGGCCCAGGGAGAACCAGCACTTCCTGTCTGGAGAGCCCTCGCAGATGCTCCTGGCCTTGGAGTGGCCAGCCGCTTGGATGTGGCCGGATGTGGCCGGGAGCACTTCCTGCCTCCAGCAGGCCCGCTGCTTTGTGCCCAGACCTCTCCTTCCCCCAGTCTACTGGGGCAGGAGTGAGAAGTCTGGCAGGGAGCTAAAAATGCCTTCCCTGCTGCTCGGTGTTCCTTGTGAATGGGCCTTGGGATCCGAAGGCTCTGCCTGCTTCAGCAGCAGTCTGCTCCCTCTCAGCCATCTGCTGGACAAAGGCGCAGGCAAGCTATGGTCTCTGTGCCCTTCCTTCCTGCCACCGTCCCCGCAACCCAGTGGCAGCGGGTCAGCACCAGCTGGTCACCTCTCCCGGCCTCGCACTCGCTCTCCCGGGCACAGCATCTGAAGTGCTCTACCCCAGACAGCGCTGCGGCAGGCACTGAAGTTCCCTCCCACAGACAGGAAACTAAAACTCACAGAGGCTGAGTGACTTGCCTGAGAGCACGCGGCGGGAGGAGAGCTGGGACCTGGCCCCGCAGGTGGCTCCCAGGCCCATGATGCCCTCTAAGGAAGTGGTTTAGCGTCTCACCTCTGACATGTTCGCTAGGCAGGGAGGAAGCTTCTGAGGCCCCACTTCCCTGCCAGGTGTCCTACCTGGCTGAGAAGGAAGGCCTCCTCTGCAAATGGGCCCCAGCAGTCTGGTCTCTCTTCAGGGGCCTGACTGGCCGCAGACCTTCCTGGGGGCCTTCTCTCCTCCCTGACATGCCCTCCCCTGGCTCCAGGCCATTC